GTAGGTCAACCTCGGAGTCTGCAAACTTGTCCGGCTGGTCCGCGTACTTGAGCCGAGCGGCTATGTTGTCCCTGAGACGCCGCTCGAAGGAGAGGACAAGCTTTTTTAGGGTTTTGAGATCGAGAGCCTCCACTGCGTTCTGAGACTTCTCTAGGGCTTCGAGGAGAGAGAGATCGATGCCATTAGCGTCGTATCCGTCGTGACCTCCGGCCGGACCACTATACGCCGGCGGCGGCGAGTCTCCGGTGATGTCGTCGGCTTTCCGTTTCGCGGCGCGTTTGGAGACTTCCATGGATGCTTTGCCTGGGATGATTGCTTTAGGGCTTTAAAGATAAATGAAGCTTATTGGATCCTCAGCCCAATGGCATATTTGACAATGTAAATGGACTACAAATTCTCTCGCGAGGTTATAATCTAAATCAATAATATTTATAATTAGAAAGAAATCTGTAAAACTAGTATGTTGATTTATCTAGATTCTATAATACAAAATAAATAACCTATACACGTCATTTTTTTTTTTTATAATCCGGAAATTCATAGTGTCTTTGGTCCTACTACATCACAGAGTATCGGAAAAACCATGTGACTGTCCTTTCCCACGTTTGGATTTGAACCCAATATGAGAACATCAAACTCACCACTAGACCACCCAAACTTGGGTATATATACGTCATATTTATTAACCTTATACGTCGTATAAGTATACACACACAAAACACAGACAATCTATCACAATCGCATATATTAATAAATATTTATTATGAAAACTCGTTTGGCCGATGGTGGGTAGAGACTAGAGAGAGAGAGGTGCAACTAAAGTCGCAAAGGTAGTGGACTAACACCGCGAGCCTAACCGAAAATCGTAATTAACGTCACCACATTTTTTGGGCAATAAAGTATTTATCATTGCTTCGATTTGTCGTCATTATATGGATATATGTGCACATCATGTGCGTATATATATATATCCATCGATATAAAATATGGCATGCATGAACTTTTTGTTCCAAAAAGAAAAAAAGGTACCAATCAGGCTTCGGAGAGATTTGGTCTCATCTGCTCATTTTTCGTAATCCTTATCTCCTTTGTCATCTCCTTGTTTGTTTTTTTTCTCTCTTAATCTAAAGATAATCTCTGCAACGTGGTAAGACAAAAAAAACTCACCAATAGCGAGAGAGAGAGATGGAGTTGCTGAAGCCACACGCCGCAAACTCTTCGCCGTTGACGCCGTTAGGGTTCCTGGAGAGAGCCGCCACCGTCTACGGTGACTGTGTCTCCGTCGTCTACGGCGGCTCCACTGTCTACACGTGGCGGCAAACGCGCGATCGCTGCCTCCGCGTCGCGTCGGCGATCTGTTCCGTCTTCCGGATCGGCAGAGGCGATGTCGTCTCCGTCATCTCCCTCAACACTCCAGCGATGTACGAGCTTCAGTTCGCCGTCCCGATGTCCGGCGCCGTTCTCAACAACATCAACACTCGCCTCGACGCGCATGCTGTTTCCGTGCTCCTCCGCCACAGCGGATCCAAGCTCCTCTTTGTCGACGTTTTCTCCCGTGACCTCGCCGTCGAAGCCGTCTCCGACGTCGCTGATCCTCCAATCATCGTCCTCATCGCCGACGACGAAGAGGAGGGAGGAAGAGGCGTTGCTGACGAGGCGGATTTTTCGAAATGCCGTTACACGTACGACGATCTCCTGGAGAGTGGAGATCCGAGTTTCAAGTGGGCCCGGCCCGGAAGCGAGTGGGACCCAATGGTACTTAATTATACATCGGGAACGACATCGTCTCCTAAAGGAGTGGTTCACTGCCACAGGGGCATTTTCGTCATGACGATTGATTCTCTGATCGATTGGGCTGTACCGAAAAACCCGGTTTACCTCTGGACCCTACCGATCTTCCACGCCAATGGATGGTGCTTCCCGTGGGCCATGGCCGCCGTCGGAGGGACCAACGTCTGCCTGCGTAAGTTCGACGCGCCGGTGATCTACCGTCTGATAAGAGAACATGGCGTGACCCACATGTGTGGAGCTCCTGTGGTGCTCAACATGATCTCGAATACCACCGTCGACAAATCTCAGCCTCTCGTGAGCCCTGTTCAGATCCTCACTGCTGGATCTCCGCCTCCGTCCTCCATACTTCTGCGCGCCGAATCCCTCGGTTTCGTCGTCAGCCACGGCTACGGGCTGACAGAAACCGCCGGTTTGGTAGTGTCCTGCGCTTGGAAGCCGCAGTGGAACCGGTTACCGGCGAGCGAGAGGGCGAGGCTGAAGGCTCGACAAGGAGTGGGAACCGTCGCGTCAACGGAGATCGATGTTGTGGACCCTGAATCGGGTCGGAGCGTGGCGAGAGACGGATCAACGATCGGGGAGATAGCCCTGAGAGGAGGATCAATCATGCTGGGATATTTGAAAGACCCGGAAGGAACCCAGAAATGTCTGAAGACAGGGTGGTTCTACACGGGAGATGTCGGAGTGATTCACCCAGATGGGTACTTGGAGATAAAGGACCGATCGAAGGATATAATAATAACCGGAGGAGAGAACGTGAGCTCGGTGGAGGTGGAGTCGGTGCTGTACACAAACACGGCGGTGCACGAGGCGGCGGTGGTGGCGAGACCGGACGAGTACTGGGGAGAGACGCCATGCGCGTTCGTGAGTCTGAAACCAGGGCTGAGGAGGAAGCCGACGGAGAAGGAGATGATAGAGTATTGCAGGGAGAAGTTGCCGCATTACATGGTGCCGAAAACGGTGTCGTTTGAGGAGGAGCTGCCGAAGACTTCCACGGGGAAGATTCAGAAGTTTGTGCTGAGGGAAAAGGCCAAGAAAATGGGCCCACCACCGAGGATGAGCAGACTGTAAGATTCGATGGATGGTCCAAAATATCGTACTCTGTGTTTTTAACCAAAAGCAATAATAAATATGAAATGTGATGGCGGCCCGTCTCAAATCTTGTGCGATGCAGTTTCGTTTATATAATGTACGTAACTCGATGTCCGGAAACGGGGGCTTGATACGGTGTCGTTTCGAAGGATAATATTCGATGTCCTTTTTTTTGTGACGAATATTCGATTTTCTATAAGTCAATGAAGTCAATGTCGTGGTGGGATTTTAATCTATCGTGATTGTACATATTTATATATGATGGATAATGTGTGGGTGAATAAAATCAAAATAAAAAAAGAAGGGAAACGCCGATCGCTTTTTCGCTGATCACTCGCCTTTTTCCTTGAGCGTCTCGCCAACGAAACAGAGGGTTAAACCTTCGACACTAAGCAAAAGAAGATCCCTTTTCCCCTCGCTTCTCTCGCATTCGTATTCTATTTTTCTGAGTGTGGGGTTTCCTGTGGGGGTGTGCGAGAGAGAGAGAGGCATCGGAGGGGAGAATGGGAGTAATCTCGAACAAGATCTCCAGAGATGAACTCAAACCAGGGGATCACATCTATTCATGGCGTCACGCCTACGTCTACGCCCATCACGGTTCCCGCTCTCTCTCTATGGACTTTTTATGCATTTAGCAGATTTGGATGCTACATCGGTCTGATATCGGTGAATGCACGATCTTAGTTGTCTGTATGTGACTATTTTTTTTTTTGGGGGGGGGGTATTTTGGGTTTTGATTGGACGATTGCGATTTCCATCTGGGCAAATCGAGGTATGTTTTCCAAGTTCGGAAAGTTAGGGTTTTGGACGGGAAACCCTAAATGTGGGTATTCGTCGGTCGGGTTTTGTAAAAAAAATTCGTTTTTTGTTTTTTGAAGTGGGAAATAGCAACCAAAGCATCTGGGAAATCGTCATATGATCCGATTGCTTTAGTTTGGATTGCAAAATAGCAGCAAGAAGCGTATGGGAAGTCTATCACATGATCTGACATCGTCTTACAGCCTCCCTCTCTCGGGTTGATTTAGTCTTATCCATAATACATTTGAGCTCCTGGCTCTTCTTACCTTGATGCTAGGGTTTTCAATTCCTAAAACGCATGAATTATTGCAAGAAAAAAAAAAAGTTCTTTCCCTGAGCATGTGGAAGCAAATTGGTCTGAAAAGAGTCAGCTGTCCTGTATAAACACTGTGATAATGTGGCTAGCGAGAATCACTTCTCTCTCATTCTATTGTTCAATCTGTTCTTACTTCTTACTTGTTGCTGCTCTGTGTGCTGATATTCCCAAGGAGATCGTTTTGTGAAGCATTCATCTTGTTATGGTTACCAGGAATATATGTAGGTGATGGAAAGGTCATCCATTTCACCCGTGGAGCTGGTCAAGAAATCGGAACTGGGACATTCTTGGATAACATCATCGTTAGTTCATCCCCCAGCCATGGAGACTGCCCCTGTCCAAACTGCGGCGATCAATCCAACCTTGATGGAGTTATCTCTTCTTGCCTAGAATGCTTCCTCTCAGGAGGCGATCTCTACATCTTTGAGTATGGAGTAAATCCTGTTGTCTTTCTCGCCAAACCTCGGGGTGGTACCTGCACATTAGCGTCCTCAGACCCTCCAGAGGAGGTCATCCACCGTGCGAAATTCCTCTTGCAGAACGGGTTTGGCGTTTACAACGTTTTTAAGAACAACTGTGAAGATTTTGCAATCTATTGCAAAACAAGTCTGCTGGTTTATACAAACATGAGCGTGGGAAGGAGCGGCCAAGCTGCTTCAATATTTGCAGCTTTCAGTGCCGTTGCTTCTACACCACTCAGGTATCTGACCACGAGTTTCAGCGGTTTGGCTGTGGTCGGGTATGGTATGTACTGCATGGGTCGGCTGGTTTCTGATATAGGGGTCCGTAGGGACGTGAGCAAGGTGCCCGTGGAGAGGCTGGTTGCCCTACCGACTACTGATGTGGCTTCCGAAGGCAAACCGGATGACAAGAAAGGGAGATAAACCGGGTTGCTAATACCGGTTTGGGGCCGGTTTTGGAGGATGGTTGATGGGGTAATTCTTGTGGGGGAAAGTAGAGATTTCTGCTTCTGATTTATTCTTGTTTGCCTCGTGTGCTGTCACTGCTGTGTAATATTGAACTATGATGTCTCTATGGGTAATACCTGGGAATGGTTCAGGTACTGCTCTGGTCTAATTATGTAATAAAAGGCGATGGTTTTATTATTTCTAATGGCCAAGTATAGCTCTTGTTTCAAGTAGTTAGTAAACTGTCACTGATGAAGAAACTAATGAGAAATAAGAACAGAAACTCCCTATTATTCTACGGAGTCAAAATGAGGTAGATGTGTAATGAATGTGGTTCAGGCAATGTCCTCTTGAAAGTTGACCATGTATATTGCGACCAAAGTGACGGCTGCTCCAGCTAGTTGCAGCGGCGAGAATGTCTCGTTAAGGTACAGAAACCTGTTTCAGACAAAAAAAAATGTGTCAGAGAGACTCAACATTCAAACACACAATGGATGGATTTGTCGGCTTCTTTGTCTTTAGTCTTTACCCAAAGATGGAAGCAAACATGGGTGTCAAGAAGGTGAGCGAGCTTAGCTTTGTCAGGCTTCCTGAAGAAAAAAAAAAGACATCAAAACACTGAAAATCTAAACCCTAGAGGGGAATATGTTCGCAAGGGATCAGGACCTTTAGTGGCACTGTAGAAGAAAACGCCGTAGCTAACAGCGCTGCCGAAAATGGAGGTATAGAGAAGAGCCACTATATCATTTGTGGTAAGCTCTTGAATAATACTGCCATTGAAAGCTGGATCATTGTTGAGAAAGGAAATTGCTAGAAGAGGAATTCCACCTATAACCATGTGCTGCATTCATTCACAGAATTGGCCATTGTCAGTTTAGTTTTGAGTAAGCAACTTTCAGACATATGTCCTCACGATCAGGATAATAGCTGAAAACCCGACAGGACAGGAAGGGGTCATACCCATCCTGTAGCCATAATTGGATCGGAGTATTTTGTGACCCATCGGACCATGACAGTGCCAACAGCCATGCTCTGAGCTGCAAGGAGCATCCACCATTCCCCACTCCCCCATAATGAAAAGTTGCTCTCATCTTCTAAAGCTAGAGATGGTATCTGAGAAAACAGTAAAAATCAGATATTTTTCAGTTGCAAGCACTTGCCTTTGGTGTACGCTTGATTCAGGAAAAACTCGAATCTAAACGGTTAATCTTGATACACTACTCTTCGGATGAAGCTGAGTTTCTTATACAGAGGCCAGATGAAAAAAAAGGTTGGATCTTTACCTCAAGAAGCAGAAGGCCGAGGACCCCGAGAACGAGCCCTCCAGCTCGCACTATACCAATGGATTCGCCAAACAACAAGGCTGCTAACACAGCTACCGTCAATGGCTGAGAATCTATTATAACCTGCAACATTTCAGAAAGTGACCGTCAATGGCTGTAGTCTGCTTCTCTAATTGGATGCCAAGGCAAAGACAACAAAGAGATGAACAAAATAAACACATACACTTCCCAAACCAGCAGATGTCCTCTGTAAACCTTGAGCAAGAAACCCCTGCGAAGTCATCACCATCATCATCATCATCAGACAAAACTGTCATCATCTACAAAATCTGTCTTGCCAAATCCAAAAGCTCAATACACAAGCAGACAGACCTGGAAACAAGCAGCATCCACAAGAGCAAAGACAGCAATGGAGAACCAGGCAGGGAATCCTGATGGCGAAGGCCTGCGTCTGTAAGCCGCAAATGCTACAAGCAGCAAACCCGCAGGAATGAGCCGAAACGCTGCCACGAAAAACGGGCCAGCCTTTGGTAACACCTCCTTCATCGCCACCATGGCCGTGCCCCAGAAGAAGAACGGCGAGACCAGCACCGCCCAATCCAACAACGACCCGCCAAATTCTTCACTCTGTTCTTCTTCCTCTTCCACCGAATACAACAATCCCTCCTCGGTTCCTCCGTCGGTAACGCACTCCACATTTAGCCCAGTACCGACGCAATCCATCGGTGACGGCGACGGCTGAGATTCAGTGTCCTCCGGGTTTTTGCTGCTGGCGGTGCTCCTTCCCGCCACCGAGTCACCATAAACTCGGCGTTTCCTGATTGGACCAGGGACGAGGTCAAGGAACTTCAAATTGCAGAACCTTCTGTGGCACAAGGGCGTAATCGAAGGAAAATCACGGTTAATCGATGGATAGCTGTTCGTGTTGTTCGAATTCGCGCGTCCGATTCTGGAGCTGGAAAGCGTAAGTGAAGCAAAGAAGGTAGTGGTAGGAGGAGAAGAGGAAGACGACGAAGCAGCAGCGATGGACGGCCATAGCCGCGCCATAGATGCTTGATTTAGGCACTTCCTCCAACTTCTTTAGCTAAATATCTTCCGGAATTTGGCGTCTTCACTGTGAGAACAAAAAATCACAAAAAAAAAAAAAAAATCTTTTTTCGAGTGTCAGAGAGAAGGACACACGTTCAGTTACCGTTCTTCAACGCGCGTACGTATAACTAAAATTTCCGGTAAAGTTTTAATTTTTACAAAACCATTTTCCATTGATAAACACAAAGCTGTTCCTTGAAAAACAGAGAAACAGTGTGTAATATGGCTCCATATACACGTAGAACATGCTTGCATTCACTAAAGCGGTTAATTCGTTAATTCCATTTTGTGTTCAGACAATGTTATGCAGAATGGTAGCATGTCGTAAACGAGCCAGTTAGCATCTAATAAGGCCTCTGTTTCCTTCTCAAGCATTCTGATGAACCACACAAATAAGCTGCCATGAATGGTGAAGCTTAGATACAGAGCAGATGCCACAAATTTTCCACCTTTTCTTCTCAAGCCCGAGTCAGGAACTCGCGTATGGAACCAGCCGTTCCACGTTTTCTGGCCTGCAAATACAATGCCCCAAAAAAAAAAATCCTCGATTTAAGGTATAGATTTGTGGGGCCGATCTCAAGACAGGATGGAAATGAAGTTCACCTTCTCGTTGTTGAACAAGTCTTCTGCAATAGCTTCCATCTGTTTACGTTTCTTTTCTTCTTTGATGTAATCAGTCATTTCCCCGCTATCATATTCTCTGGTTATTGGTGATAAAACGTAAGCAATGAAGCAAGGAAAGGAAGAAAATTGAGCAGGAAAGCATGAAGACTAGAGATGAGATTTACTTGTATGGGTCCTTCGAGAATGGGATGAGGTTGCTGAAGCTGTTTCCTGATGTAATGTTTCCCTAATCAGTCATAAAATATGTCGTAACCAAACATCATCATCTGTATTACAAAAGAACATTCAAAACCTAGGAAAGATTCAGATTCAGGGTTCTGTTACCTTTCTGAATCGCTTGAAATTCACAACTCCACCATCCCCAGCAGAGAGAACAGTTCTAATAGACTGTGTGTCCCTAACTATAAGATCTTGGCTGTAAATAATATCCGGGTTCCCACATTCTGGCCCTTCATTCCGGTCTCTTCTTATCGTTACTTCACTCGGAATATCTCCAGCATTACCTCTGTTTTCAGCTTCTGCTAAATCCACGCTTTTGAACTCGTTCGATTGATCTAGTATCATAACAGGACTATCCTCCATCTTAGTAGCATCAGCTTCATCTTTGATTTCTTCTTCAACTGAGTGTTTTGGTGATTGTAACTTTTCTGTGGTATCGATCACACGGACAGATGATTCTGTATTTTCTTCTGCATCGGAATCTGCTACCACTGTCTCATCTGTAGAGCATGAAGATGAAATGACAACTGCAAAGTCCAAACAGACAATCAGCACTGAAACTTGTCTATAATCTGTGTGATATCAGATAACTATGTCTGCTTATATGGGTGAAGAAGACACATGTACACTCACCAGAAGGTGGTATCAGACTAGACGAAGCCAGATTTCCAGATAAGACAGCACAGATTAAATCCATCTCGTTCACTTTAGATAACAAACTGAGATGTTTGAAACGACCAAACTTGTCTCCAGAACTTTTCGGGATGACACATACCATACGATTGATTTCTCCATACTCAGAATCCTGCAAGAATATTCGATGGTTATTACGTGAAAAAAGAAAACAAATGAACAGACAATGAACTGCACAAACCTGACTCATGGAACTAATTTCTTCTATGGATACAGTTTCTGCTCCACATACTTTGAGTAGTGACTGGAAGCTGCCTCCAAATTTGTACTGAACAAAAAAATTACAAAAGAAAAGCACAGTACCATCAATCAGTGTAACAAGAATCACATGGTGTCATAGGTTCAATCCCATTATTTCCAAACTAAAAAGGTACCTCGTAAGTCGGCTCCAACACAAAGGCATAACCTTCCAGACATTTTTCACGAACTTTTGGGTCCACTATGTTAACCCGTGTATCTTCCACCATTACTGCTGGTATGAACCTATAAAAGCATTTCAAAGTGTTTTCAACGTCAGTAACTATGAAACTGGTTCCATGGCAAGAGAAAACTCAAGATAAAACTCACTGATTGTATCCAGGAATTTCACTGCGGACGTTTTTCTCTGCAATGAGCTGGACAAACAGCTGAAGTTAAACACTACTAGATAAGTAACGAAAACAACAAAAAGAGGGTTGCACTCGGATAGTAAACATACCTTAACCCAACTTGTCAAAATAATTGTTTTTTTGCTTAAAATAGCATTGATCAAATCTTCATTCACTTGCACATGCGGTTCAACGAGCACGTGGGTACACTCCTCGGTCAAGGTAGGAGTCATACTGGCACCTGTAGTTAATGACACAATGTAAGTATAACATGTAATTGTTTTTTCAAGTACAACATTTTTATGGTATATTAAGCTTAGCAATAGAAATATGCATAAGACTAAGTGTTCCCTTGGCTACAAAAGGTGCATAGCAGTTAATGAAGAACACTCCAACGTAGAAGCATAGAAGGGTCCAGAAATGTGAAGAGATCATAATGTAAAGGCAACCCAGAATAGCCACATGAAAGTACAAGAAGCAACACTATGAATTTTCTAAACGGTGCTAGTTATTACGTTTTCACTAACCAATAGATGATACGTCATCTCGTACCAAGCAATCCACCTTGAAGGGCATGGAGCAAGGACAGAAGAAAAATACCAGCTGGATATAAGAAAACCTGTGAAAAATTATTAGAAGATGAACAGATATAACCATATTACATTAAGCTACGACAAAAAGTTAGATTCCAATCTATTGTAGTCATGAACACAGGAGTAGTAAAAAAAGACATAACGTTGTTTCACCTACTAGATCTCAGACATAAAAACAGAACAGCTAACTACTCAGATAACAAGATTAAAAACAAATACATCAGATACTTCTGCCCAAAAACTCAAGATAGACAATAGTTCAAATTAGAAATCAGCTAAAGAAACAAAAATCACCTGTAGGTAGCAGCACCTGTACCAAATGTAACAATATCACCATCTCTCAAAACTGCTTCCTTATTAGGTAATTCGTGAACTTTATCTTTTGTTCCGAGGTTAGATTTGATAAAGGTCCCATACTTTGAGCAATCTTTGATCCGGATATTGGAGGAGGTACGAGAAGATCTGTTCTGCTGAGAGGTCGGAGCAACCATTGTGTCAAAAGTTATCTCTGCATGGACCCGAGATACCCCCTTGTCCTTATTGATAATTATGTCGCATCCTACACAAAACAAATCTGTAGATAAGCGCATCCAAGATATAAATCTAAAAATATCTAGTACAGAACTGCAATCTCTCTGTGCCATATCATTTTGATGGAGCATATATAACAAACTCATTCAGATGGTTTATTATCCATAAAAATGTTTATCTGAACAACTTCAACATGTTCCAGGCACTTTTTTCAGTTCTACATTCTGTTCATCTTAAAGCATAACTGCAGAGCTATCAGACACTGGCCTTAGGATCAAACACTTGTGAGGAAACTATCAAAACCCCTCGTATTCTACTTGTGCTTGACATTAATGAATTTCTTTCTCCTAGACTCTCCATTTGCTTTACGACAGAAATAAGAACTAGTCATGTGCATTACTGTTCTTCATCTGTGAAGACTCAATTCAGTTATAAAGTTTTGAACACGTTTTCGACTTTACTTGTACCCATGTTCATCAACAACAAAAGGGCCAATCCCAAATACGAAGAACTAAAAAAAAGAGAGATGAAATTGTCAAGACATGAAGACATATCTGGCCGTGTTCAGTTGAATATCATGTCTGTCTACTTTCTGATATGCAACAAGTGAAAGGAGGAACAAGTAAACAATACCTCTTCGGCCAATCTTGTACGTTCCTTTAAAAAATATGTAATATTTCTCTTCGCCTGCCACATTACAAGTACAACTCCAGAATCAAGACGTACATGACGAACGAAAACAGAACACAAGTGCGGGAACTCAAATCCAACTGACAAGAAAGCTGCAAGAAGAATAAAACCTGAAAGAGGATCGACGGGTAAAAGACCCCAAACCATGAATTTCCGATTGATTCCACAGTTCCGAAATTCCCCACGACCTCACAAAAGGGTTCCTCAGAGAACCTCCGGCGAAAAAAGGGCAAAAAAGTCGGGATTTTTGGGAACAAGGCTTGCGGGTTTTAGGGAATCTTCTTCGTCATCGAACTAAACCAAGCCGATTCCAAGATATGTCACGATAACCGGATATCATTAAACCAAAACAAACCGGACTAGCTCCGGTTAGTGGACTGAACGGATGGTTCTTCTTCGGTTATCTGTTACAAAGACAAAAGGATTGAAAACTCCGGCTGCAAACGGCGAAGGAATCCGATTTTCTCTAATTCGATATCGGTGCTGCAAACAAGTAAGATCTTCTTCTGTGTTCTCTCTTCACTTCTTGTTCGTGTTCTCTACTTGGGTCGATGCTTTATGCCTTTGGGTGCTGCTGAAGTTCGAAAGTTCTGATTTTTTTTCCTTCTTGAACTGCTTTCTTTTGCTCTCCTCGTAGCTGTGTGATTTTGGGAGGTTTGCTTTATTAATCTAGGTCAGGTTCTGGGTTTTCGAGATTGTGGTTGATTTTTGAATTCTCTCGAGGAATCTGTGGCTGCATTTGCAGTGCCCACGATGCGTTTGTCAAATTGCCTACGTGACGATTTTGGGTTTGGATAAAAATTCTACCTTTTTGTGTCATCGAGTTCACTTTTCTGACTAAAAGGCGACCTTTACAGCTCCAAATACGTAATATCGTCCTAAATCGTAAGGATTTCAAGTATACATTTTCACCAGCAGGATTGTTTGTAATCCCGTGGTTAGTCTTTTATACCAACTAGTTTTGAGATGAACACTGATAAGTCTCAGATTTTGATTTATCCATTCCGACAACAGCTTTGTAGAAGACTGTATAGTTATTCATTCTAGACTTGGTCAGCATCTGTTTGTTCGAGTTCTTTAATGATGTCATGTCAGATGTATAACTGTTGTTCGTTTGGATACACCAGTGCTGTATAAATCATCTGCTTACTCGCAGCGAAAATATTTAGCAGTTTTAGTAAGCTGTTGTACCATAGTTGCGCATGCTCTGTCTAAGCCTTCTTGATGTTGTTTCAGGTAGAGATTTGGAGATCTGAACTTTTGAATATTTACCTTTCACTTTACATTGCGTGTGCATTATACTGTTTTCGATATAGAAGATTTTGATGCATATTGGTGGTGTGGACTAATAGAGGAAACTTCTCTTCAGTTTGCAGTTATAAATTATAATCACAGACTTCAGTGTCACGCAAGTTTTCGCTACCTGGAAGCAGGTTGGAATCAATGGCATATGTTTCAGGAATGACGCTTGCTTCAAAGACCTTCCTGCCATTTTGTTCTAGAACCTGCTCATTTCCCTGTCGTGTCATTTCTTTTCTCACTTTTCGAGGAAACTCCTCTGTCGGCTTCGGCAGGGCCCAATTTCTTCACCCTTCTTCTACCGTTACAAGTCCAAGATTCTCTCCCGTTAGGTGTGCTCAATCTGCTTCTACCCTTGAACCGGAAAATCAGGTTGCTTCCCGGCCTAATGTTGTTGATATACTCGAAGAAAGAGGTCTCCTTGAGTCAATCACCAGTGAGAATCTCAGGTCTGCGTGTTCTGATCCCACCTTAGGCCCTCTCAAAGTTTACTGTGGGTTTGATCCGACAGCTGAGAGCCTGCATTTGGGTAATCTTCTGGGTATCATCGTACTTTCCTGGTTTCAAAAGTGTGGGCATAAAGTCGTTGCTTTAATCGGTGGTGCCACGGGCAGGGTGGGTGACCCATCAGGGAAGAGTCAAGAAAGACCGGAGCTTGATGTTCATACATTGGAGAAAAACATCGCTGGAATTAGCAGTATCATAACCAAGATTCTAGATCAGAACGTGGGCAAATCCTCTTTGAACCCGAATTCAAGTAGTTCTTACGCAATTCTGAATAACTACGACTGGTGGAAAGATGTGAAATTGCTAGACTTTCTTAGAGACATTGGCAAGTTTGCTAGGGTGGGTACTATGATCGCAAAGGAGAGTGTCAAGAGGAGATTGGAATCGGAACAAGGAATGAGCTACACCGAGTTCACTTATCAGTTACTGCAAGGTTATGATTTTGTTCACTTGTTCAAGAACGAAGGGATCAATGTTCAAATCGGCGGTAGTGACCAGTGGGGGAATATCACAGCTGGAACCGAGTTGATCCGGAAGATTCTTATGGCGGAAGGAGCATACGGGCTGACATTCCCTCTCCTACTGAAGAGTGATGGCACCAAATTCGGGAAATCAGAAGAAGGAGCAATCTGGCTGTCCCCTTCGGTGTTATCTCCCTACAAGTTCTATCAGTACTTCTTCTCAGTCCCGGACACTGACGTGATACGTTTTCTAAAGACACTCACTTTTCTGAGTCTGGATGAGATAAGAGCGTTGGAGGATCAGATGGGCAGATCAGGTTATGTTCCTAATACCGCGCAGAAGAAACTTGCAGAAGAAGTAACCCGTTTCGTGCACGGTGAAGAGGGATTGAGGGAAGCCATCAGAGCAACAGAAGCTCTAAGGCCAGGAACGGAGACGAAGCTGGACTGGAAGATGATCGAGAAGATAGCGGAGGATATTCCATCGTGCTCGTTGGCCAAGGAGGAGGTACTGAATTCTTCCATCATCGATATCGCGGTTTCGTCGGGATTGTTGGAGAGCAGATCGGCGGCGAGGAGAATGATGAAGCAGGGAGGGATTTATCTGAACAACGAGAGAGTAGAAGAGGAGAGTAAGAGAGTTGGAGATGATGATATTGTGGAAGGGAAGGTTTTGCTGCTCTCTGCCGGGAAGAAGAATAAGATTGTCGTTCGGATTTCTTCTTGATCTCTTTTTTTTTTTTTTTAACCTTATTATTATTACTCCAAAATCTCATTTTTATCATGCCATTATGAATGAATACTGGAGGAAATTCTTTATTGTATTTTGACATAATTCTCTGTAACTTATGCTATTCAGTTTTAGGACATTGTTGATGTAAAACCAATATTATTCCATAAAACCTGAATTTTAGCAATAATTTCATAATTCTCTGTGATATTTTTCGAATTTACAAAAATTATAATTTCGATTTAATTACAAGTCAGGTTTTATTAAAAAAAATATATTTTTAGCCATATAGAGCTAGCAAGACTATACAGCGGCCAAAAATAAGAAGAGCCAAACCCTAACCAGATACATAGTTATGGATGAGAACAAAAGGAAAAGAAAATGCAATAGACAGACAGACAGACATATGTATACATGCGTATGTACATGTATACATGACATATTCCTAAACAAAGATAGATTGTGGTCTCACTCAGTATATGAACAGATATGGTCACGTGAATTCGAAGAAGTCAAATGTGACCCCTCCATTGCCATTCTTCCTCCTCCGTTTTCATCGGTAACTGATCCCCAATTCTTCCGTCGTCGTCGGAATCTCAATCTCTCGCTCGCTCGCCGGTTCGTTTCTTTGTCCTGAGATTCCGATTGTCGTATGTGAATCCTCTCTTCTTTACTGCTTTGTTTCTGTTGTAGGTCTTCTGAGCAAGCGTGTCACCCTCGTTCACCATGTCTTGGTGCGCCATAGAATCTGATCCTGGTAATTCTTCGGGTTTCTTGTTTTCCTGAGTTCGATTCTCTCTTTTGGGTTTTCAATTTGGCATAAATTTTCAGACTTGTGATATGTTTCTCTTGACTAGTTTAGCTCTTCTAAGTTCATGTCTGTATGAGGCTAGAGTTCTTATAATGTCAGCTTCTGGGCATTAGATGTTCAGGATTCAGATTTCAACTCTTGTTTTCAAGTGAAGAAACTGCGTTTTGGCAAACTTCAAATTCGGAGAAGAGTGTTTATGGATCAGACATGGTTCCGTACATAGAATTTCTTAGCTTCCCAACGTTATATAGGCTTCGAAATGCGAACATTAGTAATATCAACCTCTTGTTAGACTAAAAGAAATCAGAGGCCAATGGTGGGAAGGGTTAGGACCAAGAGTGATTTGCTTGCCCGAACGAAACTTGTTCTCATGCTTAGTCGATGGTGTCTCCTCATCTCAGTCATTTGTTTGTTCCATTTCCTAATAAGCAATATTAGCCGAGTAATGATCCCGGCAGTTCTCGATTCTTATTCTGGGCATACATATCCAGGCGTTTTCACTGAGCTTATACAACAGTTGCAAGTGAGAGGCGTGCAGGTTGAGGAATTGTATTCATTGGACCTTGATTCTCTAGATGAACTAAGGTAGTTATCGTATAGTCTTTTCTCCAATTCGGACTTTTTCCCCGAAAATTCTTTCTGTCTACAAATTCTTTCTCCTAAAGCTTTTCATTTGATTATTCACTGCCAGACCTGTGTATGGATTGTTATTGCTTTACAAATGGCGTCCCGAGGAAAAGGACAACCGTCCTGTGATCACGGATCCAAACCCGAACTTCTTCTTCGCCAGCCAGGTCACTGTCTCCATTGCTTTCAAACTTGTTGGAGATTTTACTGGTAACCTTTTTCCTGAAATAAAAGTAGGCGTCTTTTTCTTTTGGGTATGCAGATAATCAATAACGCTTGTGCAACGCAAGCGATATTGTCCGTCCTCATGAACTCTTCGGGTATCGATATCGGTCCGGAACTATCTAAACTGAAGGAAGTTACAAAGAACTTTCCAGCTGAGCTGAAGGGTTTGGCCATCAACAACAACGAATCCATTCGTGCAGCGCACAACACCTTTGCTAGGTCCGACCCATTTGACACAGTCACGGAAGAACAGAAAGCGACTTCCAAAGATGACGATGTGCATCACTATATCAGCTACTTACCCGTCGATGGTATCTTATACGAACTCGATGGGTTGAAAGAAGGACCGATCAGCCTCGGACAGTGCCCGGGTGGGCAAGGTGGCATGGAGTGGCTTAAAATGGTCCGGCCCGTGATCCAAGAACGTATAGATAAGTATTCGTCGAACGAAATACGGTTCAGTCTTTTAGCCGTAGTCAAGAACAAGGGAGAGATGTATGTGGCTGAACTGAAGGAGTTCCAGAGAAAGAGAGAGAGGGTATTGCAGCAGTTAGCCGCTCTGCAGGCGGACAAATTCGCCGAGAAAAGCAGTTTCGAGGCATTGGACCGATCGCTTTCGGAGGTGAACAACGGAATCGAAGCAGTCTCGCAGAAAATTGTCAAGGAGGAGGAGAAGTCGAAGAAGTGGAGGACTGAGAACATACGCCGGAAACACAACTATGTGCCGTTCCTCTTCAATTTCCTCAAGATCTTGTCAGAGAAGAAGCAGCTCAAGCCTCTCATCGACAAGGCCAAGCGTAATAACAATGCCTAAGTGTGAAAACATCGTCAATCCATGTATGATATTCTGAGTCGGCTTTTCAAACCCGAGCCTAATTATAAACCCGCGGGTTCAGACCGAATCTCGGCGTCGGCCTTCAACTTCCAGTGTTATGTTTGGACCTTTTTTTTTTGGGATTTTGGTAAGTTACGTGCCCATGGACTCGCCTTATTTTGACATTCATATCATTCGCTCTTGAGCACTGTGGCGGCAAAAGTATTTACTTCACAACGGTAACTTATATAAGAAAAAATAAATGAAGATATTCTATGGTAAAAGACAGGACACAAAACTTGTTTTCCCGTTTTCAAAGCCTGTAATAACGTATTTCTTGCTGCAACTCCCGCTTCCGTTTTTTTCTGTTCCGTTCCGAAAACCTGATTTCTCTCCTCTCCTCTGCTCAAAACCATTCAACTCCGAATCACATAGCCTGGGAAAATACCCGAGCGGGTCATTTTGTAAGTTTTTTTTACCATCCATCTGATGAAAATGCGGGGAAACTGGAAGAAGAACCGAAGGGCAAAACCTGAAATTCATCAATCTGATCTGGTGGTTGTGAAGGAAGAGAGTAGACCGGCTGCTTGTGCAGGTAAGATATCGCCGAATGTTGACATTGCAGCTGCTGATCTATCCTTGAATATTCCGACTTGTCCATCGGTCAGTATCGATCCCAGCTTCAATGTGCTTTCGCCAAATCTGCTACCGACCTGTCATTAAGTGATCGAGAATTTTAAGATAATTCATTTCTTGCCGAAATACTAAAACACGAAATACCGTGAATGAACCGAAGACAAACAGCAGAGGAATTGGGAAATACCTGCATGAAGGACTTTAAAAACGGGGAAGCGACACTGAAGCTCGAGCTATCGTCCAAATCACTCTTTCGGGAGAGCTCGCCATTTGCATATGCCTTCCATGGGCTTCTCCTCAAAGCATCATCAGAAGCAGCAGCCGGAACAGAAACCTTATTTGTACTTCTTGACGATAGAGCCGGAGCACTACATTAGCCAGAAAACAGAAGTCGGAAACATATCCTACACAAAATACAACCGATAACTGGTTGAAGAAAGAAACCGACCTTATTGGAAGATACTTGAAGCGGGGAACAGTAGAGCATCGCATAATATTCGATTCGGAATTAGTGGGCAGTTTCTGGACCGTATCTGTGTACATCCGGTTCAGCTGCACGAAGAATCCGAAGAGGACAGCATGCCGTAGGTATGATTGTTTTTCATTCTCCCAAAGATAAGGCTCATACCTTTTTCACATACAAAATTTTTGCAAATAAGAGAATGATGGAGATGACAAAAATGATAAAAGGTTTATTTTTTTTACACCAAGGCGAGTCAGACAAGACAGAGATGCAATTACAAGAGAGAAATTCGATCATACTGAAAATCCCTGGTATGCAAGTGAAACAAGCTTCTAAAGTTTTGCAAAGAATCTAACAAACTTCTACAGGGAAAACCATGACATCTAACTTCTATCTGTAACCTTTAGTCTTCCAAATTCCCATGAACTACTTGAGACAGCAGATAAAAAAATATAGTTCCATATACCAAGTATTTGATATTTTCTACAGAAAAAAAAAAGTTGAGGAATAAAGATCCTTACGTGAGCCAATCTATGGGATCCAACTTTCCAGTAAGACGAGAAATCAACCCATCGATACGACCTCTAATGACTGATTTTGTTTGCCGTCGATCCTGCTTCCGTCTAAAAGGTGATCTAGTTGTTGTGCTCTTTGATAGCTCTTCACCAGTGCTTGTATCACCCCCAGAAAGAACATCAGACGCAAATCTCAAATCCAGCAAAATTTGCAGAACTCCTTTCTCTGAAATCTGAGGGTCCGACTCCTTGGCCTCCCTTGCAGATAAGAAATCCCCATAAATAATGTCGATCTGCATCATATTACAGAATAAAGAAAAGCATTCAGCATCATTCTTCAGGCAAAAACCAGCTTAAAATTATCCACTGATGAAAAACAAAAGGTGGAAATAGTGTCACACACCATTTCTTTAGCTTTCTCTCAACAGATTGGAAAAGTTCAACCAACATTTTTTTTTAAATTTAATAACTAGACCAACGAGTCTGCAAAACCACAACTCAGTTTCCAATATAAAGGAAAAGTTAATTTTTAATAGACAGTATCATAGGACAGACAAATAACAAATTTAAGAGAGGTCCAGTAGAACCAGCCTCACAACAGGTGCAGAGTTATCAAATAGCAACAAACATCTATACATGCACAAACTTATGGGTAATCTCATTCATTCTTCATCAGCACCATTCTGGCAGCAGAAAGATGTTAACTCAGAGGAATCACACTGTCAAGAACTAAATTCAAACAGCATACCTTCTCCAACAAGCTTGAGGAAAATTTTTGCAGAATTGATTTGTCGAGTACGTGACCTCCAATCCGATGAATTTCTTCCGATGCTCGACATAGAAATGAAATCATATAGAGTGAAGGCATTGAGGGAAGTGATATTTTCAATTCAGATTGGCTCTCATTCTGCTCTTGCTTGACTACCGTCTCTTCCCAACCCTATATCATCATCAGAAGAGGAATAAGGACAATAAAACTCAACCCATCAAATCATGCAATAAAAGGAGAAAAATTGTTCAGAGGAAGAGTTACCCTTAAAGGAGTTGTAGCAGACAAACCATCATCCCTTCCAAGATCACGTGAGAGAATAGCTGAAAGCTCGTCAGATAACCACTGTATCCACAATGTGTGAGCCTTGATGCACAGATCTCGCATAGTTCTATTCAGCTCTTCGAGTTTTGGACTTGTCTTCTCTTCCGCTCCGAGCAGTGCACCAACAGCTAACGAAGTTTGCTTTCTAAGATCAGTTTGCTTCATCTTTCCAGGGCTCCCAGCAGTGACTATAGAATCTGAGGCAAGTCTCGGTTGGCTAAACAAGGATGATGACTTGTCAGAAACTGCAGCCACAGTTTCTTTAGCCCACAACCTTGGAGAACCAAGTATCAAAGGAACATGTTTCGAGTGCTTCTGCAGTGAAAACAAGAGGCGCCCAATAAAAAGTGATCTTTCAATAACTATAGCAGGAGGAATTGCTTCACTGTTCTTGACTTTAGTTCTCATGGCAGAATACAGAGTCTCAAATTCTTTATTTACATCTGCAAGAACAGTTGAGACACTATCATAACATTTATTCTGCACATATGAAGCTAGATCCTTTAACCTTAGAGCTGCTTTTGGCGATTCAAAGAAGCTTAAGAGGTCCTCGAGAACGCTCTGGCAGCGCCTGTCCACTGCATCTCTGATTTGACTAACTTCAGGACCAAAGTATGCGGTAAGACAACCCTGGAAATCGCTTTCTTCAGGTGGTGATTTATTTCCTGAAATAAGACCAGCCATCTTTGTGTTTGGCTCAATGAACCAGACCCCACCACCAGTGGATGGTCTATTTAAGTAGGCTTGGAAGTCAATCTTATCACAGATGATCTCCCCAGCAGCATGAACTGACTCTGCCACATTGACAGCTTGAACCAAATCCTCAAACCTGAAGTCAATAATCGATTTCATTCTTTCAACGAAAGCCTTCTCAAATATTTCATCCCATAGATCCAAATCATCCTCCAAAACAAGCTCCCGGATTCTGCTCCAAGGCAGTTCTATCTCAGATCCAAAAACGCTCTTAAGCCAATCCAGACTATCCTTCAAGACCTCCTTACTATCCATGGCCTCTCTAATCAACTTTTCAGCTGATCCAAGCTCCACGCCGGTTGCAATAGCTTCGATCAAGTGTCTCCCATTAACCTTACAAACAATCTGCTCTCCGCATTCCCGCAACCAATTCAAACAGGTCTCAGCAGTATACTTTTTACCTAGGACGACCATGACATTTTCCAGCCTATCTCTAAAGGATTTCCACAACCCAATCTCCTCCTCAGGATTTGGGATTCCACCAAACAATTGCGAAGCTGGAGGGGTACTCAAGATTATCTTATAAAACTGAGGCAGATCAGTCAAAACTTGCAAGAACATTTCCCCAACTTGTCCCACTGTAACCTGAATCACACTCAAAACATCACAGAAAACCAAAACAACATCATCCCAAGAAGCATCACCAGCACAAGCACTCAGCTTCTGCAGAATCCAAGTCTTCCTCGACTCGAGAAACAACTCAAGCACCTGATTGGGTTCCAGTTCATCAACCACTGCGACGGCAGCTAAGGCGTCAACATAAGCCCCTAATCCTAAACCCCGATCCAGAAGCCGCTCACGGCTCCTCTGCGAAATCTGAGCTTTGAAGCTCTCTACTATCTGCCACTGATGCTGCAACAGTGGGAAATTCGCCGAGATCTTAGTCTGATCCATCTCCGCCGCACCACCACCGACACTTCCCTCTGACATTATCAGTCTCTGCTGCACATGCTTAGCACGCACATACCTCCCGGCAGCCTCTAGAAACATCGATTCATCAAGACATCCCCATATGTTCTCAGGCGTATCCACCAGATACTTGACACGACATGCGATCCCGTAGACATGGACCCTTTTTGGGTTAGGACTGACAAGCTTTGGAGTCTCCGCCACAGGGGAAGAGGAAAGCGAGCGAATATGACCGTGGATCGAAGAGATGTTACCTGAGATTGACTCACACAACGACTTCATATGCACAATCGAGTCGGCCGAGTCGATCAGGTCGCGGTACCGAGTCCCGACGAGTTGCCGGAGCTCCTCTTTTTTATCCTCTATGCTCTTCCTAGTCGCCGACTCCACATTCCGGATCTCCAATATTGGTTTCGCGAGGAATAACGACTCAGCGTCCCGATGACCGGCGCCTCCGGAGATTCCCGCGGCGGAGGGCCGGTCTTCGGAGACCGGGGAGGCCGATAACATTCTCATGGTTATTCGTGAGCCCTTCGTCTGTATCTTCTCCCTCTCTCTCTCTCTAGCAATCCGTTAGGCCTCCATTGACAGCAGAAGAAGAGTAAGAAAAGGAATGGAGATCTAAATTGGATCTGGGAAATGTTGCTTCAGATGTATAAGCTCGGAATCAAGATCTGAGTTTTTTTCTCCCTCTTTTCCCCTTCTCTCTTAATTTCTGTCCGAATTGCTGCCGTTACTGTGAAGGAAGACGACGGAGGGGCTTTACTCTAATTACCACTTTGCCCCTGTCAATTCGGTCCGTTGGAGTCTTCCGGTTTAGATCCGGTTTATTTGATGTCGGTATAAATAGAACATCAAATCGAATCATAATATAATCTGTTCTAGTGGTATTTTAGCATAATTTGGATTTATTTCCGAGTATGAAAATATTAAGTCTAAATTGAAAAATAATAAGAATTTATATCTTTTTAATCTGCAGAAAGATGGATTATTGGAAGGGGAACACTTCTATTAACTGTAAAACCAGTGTATTATTGTCCTCATTCAGCACTTGAAAGAAATAATGGTTAGATATGTAATATTAAACTACATTAGGGGCAAAGGGATAAATATAACTAAATATAGGGATATAGATGGAAAACACTATGGTTCTCCTTCCCGTCATTCGATCTCGACTCCTCCCCTCCATCTCTCTATTCTTCGCCGACCCGGATCCCGATCCCGATCAAGATCCCGATCTCACCATTTTCTGGCGACTTCCACCATCGAAGGAGATTCCGCCTCTTTTCTCCGGTATTTGGGACCTAGATCGTCAACCCTAGCTCCCCCGGTACGGCGGCTGCCGACGACGGCGTAGCTCTGATTGGTTCCAGGAGAAGGATCCGCTTGCTGCTTTGCTCGATAGACGCAATCTCTCCGACGAAAATCATAGCATAGAGTCGGTGTACGGACAGTGAAGAACGTCGACAGAAAAGGAGAGACTTGGAAGTTTCAGGCGGGAGAAGAATGGCGGACCCGGCGAACTCTTCGCTTGGAAAAATGCTGTTCGAGGAGATCACTCCTGTGGTCATGGTTCTGTGTACGCCCCTCGTTGAAGAGACTTGCCTCAAGAACGGTCTCCCCTTTGTACAAATGCTCACGCCATTCTGCAATTTCAGTAATATTGACGGTGAATGGATTCTCTTTTTGTTTTCTTGTCACACTCGATTCCTTTTCTGGACTGTGTTAGGGTTTTCGAGTATCTATCGAAGCGTGCTCCCAAACCCCCTTAATTTGAGGATTTCAATGGTGAATTTGTGCAGTACCTGTGAGGACATCTAGTGATCAGCTTTATCGGCTAAAGAAGTTTAAGTTGCGGCTGTTTTATGCCTCTGATATCCGGCAACCCGATATAGAGGTATGTTAACTGGTCTGCTTCGGTAGGAGATTTGAGGATAGTAGTAAATTTTGGAAAATAAAAGAACTTGATAACTAGTTCTTACTTAGCAATGATGTGGATGAGTGGATCACCTATAATTCAGCGTGTTGGCACCATTTCCTGATGTTTTAAGGCCTTGTCGATCATGATTTATTTGTTCTGTGCCTTGAAAGAGGATAGATTATGGTTTGTAGGTGTATGCTTGACAAAGTTGATAGCTTTATTGAATCCATTTGTCTTACTCATACTTGGTGTATCTTTGGAGTCTTCCCATATCAGATTCTGTTTACTTACTCTTTAGGTGGCAAAGCAACGGCTAGAGCATGTCATTACTGATGCTGGGAAGAGGGATTTTCAGGAATTTTGTTCGGACCCTCCTCAACTTACTGACATACTTGCTGGTAAGTCTCTGGTGAGGATTACGCAATAGATTTGTAACAGAAGATGTCATTATCGGTTAATTTTAGGGAAGGGCATTCTATTTGTCCTTGTTCCAGTGCTGACTAGTGTCCCTTCCTGCAGGTCCAGAATCTGAAATCTCACCAACATGGTTTCAGTATTACAACAAAGAGCTTATACGTACATTGTCTTTTTCAGATCACGAAGCTTTTGATCACCCCGTGGCATGTAAGAAATTTGATGATCTTTAGAAAACTTTTGTTATTGTCTCCTTATTATATCTCATAAACATTTCTTTTAGCTATAAATAATTTGCAATATGCTTTCAGGTCTCTTGGTTGTTTCATCAAAAGACGAAGAACCTATTAATAAATTTATAGATCTTTTCAACACCAACAAATTACCTTCCCTCTTGAATGATGGTGCAATGGATCCCAAGATTGTGAAGCATTACTTGTTGGTACATGACAATCAAGATGCAACTACGGAGAGGTTTCCTCCTATCTAGTCTTTGCTTTTTAGTCATATAGATATTCCATTGATGCATATTGGGCGGCCACTGTATACAACCTTGATAACATGTGTTTTTTCGTGGTTTCACATGTGGTCAACCAAGGAAAGCCTGGGAAATTCATAAGATAGAAAGTAGACATCAAGTAAAGACCTTCTATAATGCATTTACGTTGGCTATCAATGGTATAGTGATGATAGACAGAGAGGTAATTGCACACCAAAAAACTCTAAGATGAGGAAAACAGTGTGCAATGCGATACTTGACAGCTTGAGTGGTCAATAATGTCGCAGGAAAACTCGGAAAGACATGCTTTTTTTAAGTAATAGGGTAGAGATAGACCGGAAACTAAACTGAGGAACTTCTCTGGATATAATGTTAGCTTCTTGGAGAGAGTAACACTTTTTTGTAGTAGTAGTTCCTTCGTGGTTTTTATGATAACTCATCATAATTATATGGCTGTGAATTATAATCCGTAGTTGACCGGATTTTTTCCCTTCTGTGTAGAACATCTAGAGTTTTGTCTGAAATGAGAAGTACATTTGGGAATAATGAATGCAACTTGCTTTGCATTAATTCATCTAAAGAGGGGGACGTGGAACATCAAGCAAATCCTTGGGCTACATTTGTAAGTCATCCTCATATGATCTGGCTTCCTTTCCATGTCAATTTTGGAGTTCGGGATTTTAATCACCGTTTTTTCTGACAGAAACCAAATGCTCTATCCACGGAAAAGCTTGGTTGTGCCCTCACTAGCGATGACCTTATAGAGGTATTACTTTTAACTTTTTAGGTATATACACTTGTGTAGCATTCTCTAGCTGATGTCATCAACTAGATTTGACCAAAGGGGTATTTTTTTCATATTTGAAGCAGATGAAAGATCTAATGCAAGAGTTTGCCTCCAGACATATAATTCCTTACATGGAGCAAAAAGTTCGAGCACTTAATCAACAGGTTCTTTTGATAGAGAATTCTTTTTGGGAATTTATATAGATTTTGTTGTATGCTTTGCTCAGGTTTCTTTTGTTTCTTTTCTTATCCTTTAGTTTTTTCATATGATGTCATTAGATTTCTGCGACAAGGAAAGGATTTAGAAACCAGATAAAAAACTTGTGGTGGAGGAAAGGAAAAGAAGATGGATCAGATTCAGCAAATGGTCCTATGTACGATTTCTTGTAGTGTTTGATTTGATACCGTCCTTGAAATCATTTTAAGCACTAACTTTTTCTATTTTCGTTTTGAAGGTATACCTTTAACTCCACCGAATCTCAAATTAGAATTTTGGGGGATTATGCCTTCATGTTACATGATTATGAACTTGCATTGTCAAGTTATCGCCTGATATCTACAGATTACAAGATTGATAAAGCCTGGAGGCACTATGCTGGTGTCCAGGTAGCTTCAGATTTTGTTTGGCTTGCGTTTCAAATGATTGAAGGGACCCTTTTTGGCTTTCTCTTTTAAAACAATCTCATTTATATATTTTCGTTCTGCTAAATAGTACTGGTCTGCCTGGATCCTTTATTGGTATTGTTTGTCCTAGCCGCCTCTCACTTGAGTTTCTGCAATCACTTCAATTATTCACTGTTGATGGTTCATTGATTCCCATGAGAAAATTTTTGCGGCCTCGTCATCCTCTCTTGTATGTCTGACAGGAAATGATGGGACTTGCATATTTTATCTCAGATCAGTCAAAAAAGGAAGCTGAGTACTGCATGGAAAATGCATTCAACACTTATATGGTATGTTTTCATCCTGGATTAGGCAAATCTTTTAGGTTGGAAACCAGAACTCAGCTGTGTCACCCGAAGTTTCTAAAAAATGTGCTAACCAGGGGATCTTTTAGTTAAGCTCACTCTATTTCATGAAATTGATGTTTATCATGCGAAATATATATACCACCTAATACTTGGTGAAAATACTTTTGCTTGCTTGGAAATTTTATGCAGAAACTTGGGAAATCTGGCCTACAAAATGCTACAAGGTGTGGCCTCTGGTGGGCGGAGATGCTTAAGGCTAGAGACCAGTACAAGGAAGCTGCATCTGTTTACTTCCGGACATGTGGAGAGGTGATTCTTTTTTATTACTCTTGACACTGCATGTCCACCACTGCTGCTAACTGCTACTCATTTTACAGGAACCGTTGCATGCCGCAGTTATGTTGGAGCAAGCTTCGTACTGCTTCTTGTTATCTAAGCCAGCAATGCTACACAAGTACGGGTTTCATCTAGTTCTTTCAGGCGACTACTATAAAAAGTGTGATCAGGTACCTGTTGCTTTGTTTACTGAAGTGACTCAGGCTTCATACATGGTTACACTTAGTGAAGTGACTCAAGGTTCAGGCACGCTTTGCATTCTGAAGAAAAATTTTGCTTGACCCTGTCCAGGTTAACCATGCAATTCGTACATACAGAAGTGCAATCTCTGTTTATAAATCAACCACATGGAGCCATATCAAAGACCATGTATATTTTCACATTGGACAGTAAGTTTTGAATATGATGAATTTATTCTCAGAAGATGTGGTGAATTATCAGTGTGTAGTGTAAGAATTGTCCCGTCAACATGTTGGTACAGATGGTATGCACTTGTCGGGAAGTATGATGTTGCAGTCAGAAACATGCTTGAAGTACTTGATTGTGGTTACCAATCCAAGGCAACACAAGAGATATTCCTCAGAGACTTTTTCGATATTGTTAAGGTGCATAATGTTCTGTATTTGCAATTTAGATCGTGCCACTGAACTCGCGCAATGCGCAATGAGGATGGTTTGCGGATCGGGCTGCCCACCAATAGCTATCATCTGCCTCTGTTCTTCTTTCCTCTCTGCCTATGCAAAATATCTTGCACGATTTTCTTGAAAAGGGTCAAAATGAATGAAGTTTTATTTATTTTTTATTTTGCTGTGAATTTGTAGAAAACCGGAATAAAGCACGAGGTGGTGAAGCTTCAACTGCCAATTATCAATACCTCGTCCCTCCAAGTGATATTTGAAGACCAACGCACTTATGCATCTCAAGCTTCTGTAAGTTACTGAATTTATTTTCAAGCGTGTAACATTTTCAACCTCGATATAGATGCATGAATAGAATTATCGTAGGTTTGTTCCTTTAGTAGTTTGTGCTAATTCTTTGATATCTTTTGTCTTGGATTTCGGAACTTGTTCTCTTGCTACAAGTTTCGGAAATTCTTGAATGTTGGTTGTCTTGAAAAAAGAATTGCATAAAATCTGAGATTGTTTTCCTGTGTATTTTTAGATTGTTTTTCATTTGTTTTGTTCTGTGAAGTATAAATCAATTTTTACAAGAATTACGAAAACACCTTCTTCACTGTGTTCGGCTTATTCTCCACTGTGAGCATCATCGATCAAACTTATTTTTAGATTGCTTGCAATTGCCTGACTTTTGTGCATCTTTGAATTGGTTGTTTGCATGGATGGTGACTCTTGCATACTAATCTATGATTTTCATTTTTCTCGGTCAGGCTACTATGGAAGAGTCTATCTGGCAATCACTGGAGGAGGATATTGTTCCATCACTAAATTATGCCAAGTCAAACTGGCTGGATTTACAGTCAAAGCTTCTGCCAAAGAAATACAGAGAGTCAAATGTTTGTGTCGCGGGAGGTATGCAGGTTGTTGTTTAATGTCACTTGCTGCATATCCTGTTTACCTCATTACCTACTTCCTATCTTACCTACTTTTTCCCTGTTTATTCTCCATTTAAGTCATGCTCAAAATCTGAGGATTAAATGACATCAGTTCAATTTAACAGCTGAAAATAGGTACAGTTTTACAAAGAACATCCTTGGAATTTATGGTGCTGCTTGCCCAATCGCGCAATTTGATAGCTGGACTTTTTTGAGTCTGGAAAAATGTAGAATTCCTTGTTTGGAAATGTTGTGTTTTCAGACATTGGCTTGGAGATACTACAGAGACAGAAAGTACTGAGCTATCTGATTTCTTAATTAAGGATATCATAGTGTCTGTTGTCTCACTTGTGCCTTCTGTTGAGGGATTGGAATATTTTTTGGTTTGGGAATTTATTTAAATATTATTTTTTGAGAACCGGATATTCAACTGTAGGATGTCGCAAGCTTTTGCTTTTTGTGTAGTCTAACACACTCATTCTTCATGACTTACAGAGCCAGTGAAAGTGAATATTGAACTTAGGAATCCTCTGCTAACATCTATTTCCATATCGAATGTTTCCCTCATCTGTGAACTTATCAAAAATTCTGATGACGTGACATCAGGTAAATAGTTTCTGTTAATTCCTGTATAGATTTATAAATGTTTCTACATCCTTCAACTTGAATATGTGAAGCTATTTTCCATATTTGGACTTTGTAAGAAGATAAAGATGCGAGCAGCTCAAGCTTTGGGCCCAAGAATCCTGAGGAACATAATCAGTAAGAAGCTAGTCTCTGTAGTCAAATTTCTTTCAATCTTTGATTTTGTCGATCTGTATTTGAACACTTATTCTATGCTCCGCTCCGGCAACAATGCCACAGGGATGCAACATCTGGTGCTTCATTCACTTTGTCTGAAGTAGACTTCTCATTAGGTGGTGGCGAAGCAAAATTGGTGAGTCTGCTCGTCTTTTTTATGTACTTATTACGTACCGTAATTTTTCTTAGCATAGATGTTCCCACCTGCTGTTGGTCTTCACTCTGTGCTTTTTTCGAGAAGTTTAATTGCATGTGTTTTCATTTTAGAAGATAGTTGTCAGTCAAATATGCACAGAAAACTAATCAACAAGCTGTACTCTATTGATTGCCAAGTTATTGAATGTACGGGATTGTACCTCATTGCTTCTAATCTGAACGGAATACATGATATTGGATCTCGACATTTTGATTATTTCTTCCAGGTGAGACTTATGGTTACTCCCAGTGACGAAGGTGTCCTCAAAATTGTTGGTCTAAGGTGGGAGTTAGCTGGTTCTTTAGTAGGCATTCATTACTTCCAATCAGTGCCTGTAAAGGTAAAAACTGCCGAAGAAAGAAGAAAAAACAAGCGTACCCCCACTGATGACCTGAAGTTCTTAGTCATCAAGGTGCACCATTTTCCTCTGGTATAATCAATGGATTTGTTATGACCACTAACTAAAGCATGTGTTGTGGTTTATGCAGAGTCTTCCCAGGCTCGAGGGTTATATTGATCATTTTCCTGATAAAACATATGCTGGAGATCTACGGTATCTTGTTTTGGAGTTAAAAAATAAGCTTGAGTCCCCAATAAAGGTAGTTTCATTTCCTGACTTGCCCTCTTCATTCATATTTTCTTTTGAGATTGAATTAATGCGCATCGTTTGTATCTTCCTATGGTTACTGTTATTGACTTAGGATTTATCTCTTGGTGGCTGAATAATGCAATGCAACTGGACTATCCACAGGGTTTTACTTGTCCTAACCAAGTTTTCTGTTGCAGAATCTGAAAATGAAGATTAGCCACCCACGATTTTTAAGTCCTGGGAATCAGGAGGAGCTGACTATGACATTTCCAGATTGCTTAGAGAAGGGAAATGGCGATGAACAAAATATTGTGCAGCCTAAAACTAACAAAACATCAAGTAGTGTATTTACATTTCCAGAGGTTAGTGGCAAAATCTTATTTTCTTTTTTGCATGCCGTACTGTGAATCCAAAGAAAAGTTGCATGTGTTTATCCCGACATGCTTTGAATATTTAATCATCTTTCAGGACATATCACTTCAAGGGGAGAAAACATTGAGATGGCCGCTTTGGCTTCGAGCTGCTACTCCTGGAAAGACATCTCTGTATATCACAATATACTATGAAATGGAAAATGTATCAAGCACCATGAGATACCGCACTCTAAGGATGCATTATACCTTGCAGGTAAGTGCATCACTTGGTTGCAATTTTACATGTGCATGGGAACTACATAAAGGTGCACCAGCTTTGCACCAACACTGCAAATCTGATATCATATTATATTTAACCTTGTTTTCATAGGTTTTACCATCATTAGAGGCCTCATTTGAAATCACGCCTTCACCATCGAGATTGCAAGAATCTCTTGTGCGTATGGATATCGTCAACCGTACCAATTCAGAGAGTTTCCAGATTCATCAGCTGTCAACAGTTGGGTGTCGGTGGGGTATCTCATTGCTTCAGCCGGTTGACTCTATCTTACCTTCTCGATCCATAATAGCTGGTCAAGCTTTATCCTGTTTCTTCATGATCAAGGTCAATATGGAACATTATTTCAAACACTTTTGGTAGTTAGTTCCTCGTTTAACCCTTTCCCTA